CAATGGGGACCAAGCCCAAAACCCTGGTATGTGCCCTGACCGGGAACCAAACCGTGACCTCCTGGTCCACGCTCAACCACTGAGCCACGCCAGGGGGCCTGAGTTCTCTAACTGATAGTTTTGTAAAAGTTGGTTGCCAAGTAGAATTGGAAACCTGATCAATGAACTTTTCATACTGTGATACTAAAATCCACCGGTCTATCTTGCACAGTAAATAAATTATTTACCCATGCATGAATCTGTTCAGATATAAAAGGGCACAGCAAAGTACCATAAAGCATATTAAAAATGTCAATACTGCCTCCCTCAGTATTCAACTTCCATGAGGCACTAAGTGTCTAGCATTTACTTGCCAGTGATTTTCAATAGCTGAAGACTAGGCAGTAGGGACAAGGATATAAAAGAACTTCTTTAAGATTTATATGCAAAGCTGCAGTCAATTACTAAAAGTAGGTGGGGATTACAGACACACTTAAGGAAATTCACAAACTGCCAGCCTACAAATGGCTACATTTCTTTAAATTTTCATTTACTGATTTTCAGAGAATGAAAGGGTGGGAGAGGAGGGAAGAGAGGAGGAGAGACAGAGACAGAAACATCAATTTGTTGTCCCACCTCTTTATGCCCTTGACAGGGGATGGAATCTACTACCTTGGCGTCTACGCTAATAAAAGAGAAACATGGTAATTGGTGTACGACCGCTACCCTTTTCATTAGCTAATCTGTGAGATATGCAAATTAGTCAACAGCCAAGATGGCGGCTAATTTGCATGTGTCAGCCCCAAGCCTCAGACTAAGGCTTTAGGCTGGGGCCTGGGCGGAGCCATCCAGCAATCATTGATGGCAGCAGCGGCAGGGAACCAGGCAGAGACAGCCAGCTATGCTTGATGGCGGCGGCGGCAGAAAGCTGGGGGGGCTCCGGCCAGCCAGGGATCCTTGATGACAGTTGCAGCGGGGGTTTTTTTTGGGTGCTTGGCCCAAAGCCCAAAGCCCCCGCCAGAGGCTTTAGGCTTGGGCCGGTCCAGCCAGCCAGGGATCCTTGATGGCAGTTGCAGCGGGGAACCGGGTCGGAGCCAGCCAGCGATTGGTGGCGGGGAGCTGGGGGTGGCCCAGTCCAGGCCTAAAGCCTTGGCCAGAGGCTTTAGGCTTGGGCCAGGGAGGAGCCAGCCAGAGATCGTTGAAGGTGGGGAGCATGGGGAGGGTCCGGCCCAGGCCTAACACCTCAGCCAAAGGCTTTAGGCTTGGACTGGGGCGGAGCCAGCCAGCAATGGTTGATGGCGGCTTTGGCGGGGAACCAGGGCGGAGCCAGCCAGCGATCATGAGCCAGTGATCATGAGCCAGTGATCATGAGCCAGTGATCATTGATGGCCCAGGCGGCTGCAGGGAGCTAGGGGTGCCTCAGCCCAGGCCTAAACTCTTGGCCTGAGGCTTTAGGCCAGGGCCGTGGCGGAGCCAGCCAGCTATCATTGATGGCAGAGGTGGCGGTAGGGAGCTGGGGGTGCCCCAGTCCACGTCTACCAGGTCTAAAGCCTCAGCCTGAGGCTTTAGGCGGGGGCCGGGGTGGAGCCAGCCAGAGATCAGCAGCAGGGAGCTGGGGGCGGGCGCCGGCCCAGGCCTAACACCTCCACCGAAGAAGGAAGGAAGGAAGGAAGAAGGAAGGAAGAAGGAAGGCAGGAAGGAAGGAAGAAGGAAGGAAGGAAGGAAGAAGGAAGGAAGAAGGAAGGCAGGAAGGAAGGAAGAAGGAAGGAAGGAAGGAAGAAGGAAGGAAGAAGGAAGGCAGGAAGGAAGGAAGAAGGAAGGAAGGAAGGAAGAAGGAAGGAAGAAGGAAGGCAGGAAGGAAGGAAGAAGGAAGGAAGGAAGGAAGAAGGAAGGAAGAAGGAAGGCAGGAAGGAAGGAAGAAGGAAGGAAGGAAGGAAGAAGGAAGGAAGAAGGAAGGCAGGAAGGAAGGAAGAAGGAAGGAAGGAAGGAAGAAGGAAGGAAGAAGGAAGGCAGGAAGGAAGGAAGAAGGAAGGAAGGAAGGAAGAAGGAAGGAAGAAGGAAGGCAGGAAGGAAGGAAGAAGGAAGGAAGGAAGGAAGGAAGGAAGGAAGGAAGGAAGGAAGGAAGGAAGAAGGATGGAAGGATGGATGGATGGATTTTTTCATGGTAAATGGACTGGAGTCGTTGTTGATGAAAACATCTTGGTGGCTGCCATGACTGGCAGTGGCTGCAACAGTGCGGTGATGGGGCTGCGGCCTTCCCCTGATCAGCCTGGTTGACTCCCACAAAGGGAGGCCAGACTGTGGCTTAGGCCCACTCCCCAAGGGGAGCAGGGAGCAGGTAGTAGGACATCCCCTAGGGCTCCCAGTATGTGATAGGGGGCAAGCTGGGCTGAGGGACCAACCCCCCCCTCCACCCGCCAGTGCACAAATTTTTGTGCACCGGGCCTCTAATATCAGAATAATGCTCTATCCAACTGAGCTTTTATTTCCTGGTGGTTACTAGAAGTGTTCTTACCTACCTAGCCCCGGAGGCACCTGGATTTAAGACCACAGATACAGGATTACTCCTCCTCACAACCTAGGGAAAAGGGTACTTCCTTGATGAAGAGTAATCTGAATACAGTTTTATAATGCAAATTTCCACCTGTACATTAATCCCTAATATATCTTTGCTCAGCCATAAGTCTTAACCACATTTTATTTCTTTAAATTTGACTTGAAAATTTCTAAAATAACAGCCTCAGTTTTCTCACTTTTTGCCTAGCCAAAGAAAACTATGTCAAGTTGCAAACATCTGACTTAATTCTTAAAAGATTCCAAATCACACAAGTGACAGCTTTTGTAGAGGAAAAATCCATCTGTCAGCTTCCTAAACAATTATAGGTAAGATTTATACATACTTTATGCTTATGGAGATGAGAAATGTCAGTTTATACAATGTGTTCACTTTATTTTTTTATTTTTTTTATTTATTTTTTTTAAAATATATTTTATTGATTTTTTACAGAGAGGAAGGGAGAGAGACAGAGAGTCAGAAACATCGATGAGAGAGAAACATCGACCAGCTGCCTCCTGCACATCCCCAACCGGGGAAGTGCCCGCAACCCAGGCACACGCCCCCGACCGGAATCGAACCCGGGACCCTTCAGTCCGCAGGCCGACGCTCCATCCACTGAGCCAAACCGGTTTCGGCCAATGTGTTCACTTTAAATAAATGATATAGGACATTCACCCACAAGACGCATTCAAGACCAAAAAAAAAAAAGTTTCTAAATAAATGTTATAAATAAAATGATATAAATTTTTGTAAATGGGAATTTTTTTTTACCTTCCCCCCTAAAATTGTTTGTTGAAACTGTTAAAAGATTTCTATAAAACTAAGTTAACAAAATTCATGTTATAGAAATGCTCTGCAAACTACCATAGAAAAAAAATGACATTATACTTATCATTTCTTCCTCTAACCTGGAAAATGTCTCTGGCTAGAAATTCCTATATAGTGTCATAAGTAACAAAATTCCGAAGTACTGTGCCATTTGAAAGATAAACACATCTCAGAGAAACTAAATGCTGAACACAAAATGAGTCATTTTACTTTATAGCAAAACTAACCATGTTATTTTCAGTTCCATACAAAACAGGAAAAGGGAAATATGCATGCCAAATGGACAAAAAGAAATTTGATAGGAAAAGATAATTCTTCTGAGAATTTCATATCTTTCTGTCTCATCTAATTTCATTTTCTTAATGTGAGACTGTAAATACATACAAGAATCAAACTGTGCTGACTTCTTTAGAGTTCCCGTACAAAAAGTTCAGCACCAGCCAAAATTTCAGGAGAATGTTTTTGGTTTTCTTTATTCTTAGGCCATATTCACGTTCTGACTATCTGCAACCTCATTCATTAAAGTATCTGCCCAATGTAGATAATGTATTCAAATCATTACAAACCCAATTTTAACTCTACATACAAATCAAACCTCTCAAGAGGTAACTGATGCACTTCATAGAACACACACTGCCATTTGGCAAAATATTCAGTCCTTAAGATAGAACTGCAAACTGAAATAAAATACCTGTAAAAATATCTGATTTTTCCATAGAAACAAGACAATTAGAAGGTTCTATTCCTGACCAAGATCTTGATGCCATTAGATTCAGCGAGCTTCTTTAAACTAGAGCTACTGGGATTCCTTCTTGCTGCCCTTTCAACATAAAGATGAAACAGCAGTTTTACTGTCTTTGAAATGGTCATTTTACATTCCTGAGCTCCCATGCCATCTGCCCCAGGAACCACACCTGCAGCCTTGTGAAGAGCAGCATGGTGGAGTGGGAAAAGAATGAGCTGCAGTGTCAGGCACACAAACTGGGTTCAATTCCATCCCTACCATTCACTGGCTCTATAACCCTAGGCAAGCTTTACTTTAACATCCCAGAACCTGGAAAGTTTCTTTGTCTGTTAAGTGGATATAATTTAAATGCTCACAAAAATGGCAGCCATTATCATTATTACTGAACTGTATTTTTCATCCTTGGAAAAGTGTGTGTGTGTGTGTGTGTGTGTGTGTGTGTGTGTGTTGCTGTTTCAAATCTGCCAAGCCTGCCTTGAACTGGATGTCAAACTAAATAGGGCCCAAATTGAATCCTGAGATCTGGTAGGAACTTAAGGATGCAGAGAATGACAGCTTGGTCTGGGAATTCTTGGAATTCTGTAGACACAATAATTCTGTTTCTTGTGCATGGGTTTTTACTTCACAAAAGCAAAAGATTCCTTCTCTCCTGGCCCCTACTACCTCTCGAATCTTATCTCCTCACTCTTCCAAAGGACTCTATACTCCAAACATCATTATACTCTCATTAATTCCCTACCTAAAGTATACATCCAAAATACTCTATTTGTTTTGTACATGCCTATTCCCTCAGCCTAGAATACTGTAATACACCCTCACTGCCTTCTACATATCTAGTGACTTAGTCTCTCAAGGCTGGGCTGAAAAAAACTGTGCAAAGCCTTAACTCACCTTTCACTCCAGGCTAAACTAAGCATTTCTGAGTCCCAGTTATACCTGGGGCATACTTCATCCATAGCACTTCTCATGCTATAACTATTTGCTTGATGAAATAGTTGTCTTTCACCACCAGGCAAGCTCTATGTGTTTTAGTAATTTCTTAATTCCCAGCACCTGACACACAATAAATCTTTAGTAACTGTCTGCCAATACATGGGTAGTGCTAAACGAATGAATGGACATTTACACACTGCTTCAAAATGGTGGATTTACAACTTCTCTATTCTTTTCAGTCATTTTAGATGTTCTACTATGTGGCCAATATTATGAGACTAGGTTTTTTAAAATACATCAAAGGAATGTTGTCCTACAAAATAACCCACCTGGGGGCCATACTCTAGTTCAAATGGTCCTGCAATGCTAGGAGGAAATTTTGAAATGCTTTCTTTAAGCATTATTCCGAGAAAGTGTGTACCAGACCAATAGGAAAACCACACAGTACTTTACAGTCCTGGGAGATGGACTCTCCCAGTCTCCTCCACTTGCAGTGGTTCTCAACCTTCCTAATGCCACGGCCCTTTAATACAGTTCCTCATGTTGTGGTGATCCCCAAACATAAAATTATTTTTGTTGCTACTTCATAACTGTAATTTTGCTACTGTTATGAATCGTAATGTAAATATCTGATATGCTATATGTGTTTTCCGAGGGCCGCGACCCACAGGTTGAGAACCGCTGAGAGGGAGGCCTGCTTTCTCTCTCCCTCCCTCCCATCTCTTTCCTGTGTGATTTAATCTGGGCTGGTTTTAAGGAAATGTGCTCAAGTGGCTAAAGGAAGCTGGAAGCAAAGAAAAGAGAGGAGAGCTCATCAGGAAGCAAAATTACAGATGAAAAGTCTGTAAGGAGCCTGCCTTTTAAGTGCCTGAAATTGACAAAACTAGTCGATCTGGCTAAGTGACTTAAAATGCAAACTAGAGAAAGTCCAATCACTGGACATCTTCTACTGACAACTAATGCAATAAAAGAACATCTAATTCTGTACCAGATTAGGGAGAACTGGACTTAAATACCCATATTAAATTTTTATTTGTTTGGGTTTTGTTTGTTTTTTGGCCAATCATAAGTATTATAGCCATGAAAAGGCAGAATTAGTGCCAACCTGGTTCTCCCCAGATAACCACAAAAAAACAAAAACAAAACACCCTCAAGGTTTTGAAGCCCAGCTCCAAACTAAAAGATGGAACATGCATTTAACATCCCCTGCTCTCATGTTTCCACCTCTGCCCAAAACAGTGATTACCATATCTGTTTCAGAGTTGTTTTAAGAATTGGATAATATGCCACATACAAAAGTATCATGAAATCTCCAAATACAAGGCTCAGTAATTTATATTCTGGCTAAATAAATTATGGCACATGCATGAAATACCTCTGGAAAGAATACCATTAGTCACCTATGAGGAAAGGAAGTAGGCAAGTAAGGAACAGAGCAAGGAGAAAAACTCTTCCTGTGTGCCACTATACACTTTTTGAATTTTAAAACTTATATTATCAACTCAAAATTTAAAAAAAATTCTAAGCACTGATCAAAGTGATTCTGATCAACTAGGTTTGCAAAATACTTCTCTAATATACAAGTACACACAAGGACGACTTAAAATAATCACAAGATGAAATGAAATATGAATCACACTACTGTTTCAAGTTGTGTTAATGTTGCTCAGGAGAGTGCCATCTTAGAAATTCATCACAATTCACGTATATCCATAAAAGGCTGGTAAGTCCTATAATAAAGAAACCTGTTTAACTATGCTTAATCTTATGTTTCCCAACTTGAAGTTGAACATGGAACGCAGTTCAGGTCATTCTTTCTAGTGAGATCTCAGGGAACCAGAGGACACTGGTTTGAGATTCTCGCTCCCTGAGGTGGAGACAGACAATGTCTTACTCTCTGCCCCAGAACCCTGGAGGGTGCCTGGCCCAGAGAAAGCCTCTCAAAAAGCTAGAGCTCAAGAGGGACAACCTGCCTTTCCTGTCCTTTCTCTTTATCTAAACAAAAATGATTTCCCAACTTTCTTACTGCTTAATCAACTTAAAGAACAAGGTAAGCAGCATAAACAATCCCACTCTGCCTAAAATTTTATTGTAAAAAAATTCAGACTACCTTCAGCAGATCATTTTTTAAATCCAAATTATATATCAACAGGCATTTTCATTCCTTTAAGTGGAAAAATAAAAGACTATGATTCAAAATCATCTACTTTTAATAGACAGCAATAAATTTCAGTATCATTTCCTTCTACAACAGGGGTGGAAAACACCAGGCCCGTGGGCTATATAAGGCCCACAAAATCATTTGCACAGACATTTACATTACGATTCATAACAGTAGCAAAATTACAGTTATGAAGTAGCAACAAAAATAATTTTATGGTTGGGGTCACCATAACATGAGGAACTGTATTAAAGGGTCGCGGCATTAGGGGTGAGTTAACTAAATGTCTGATCAAATACAGCAGGCTAATTTTTAAGTTGATAATTCTTTATACATATCCAAATGGCCCTTGGCAGAAAAAAGGTTCCCCACCCTATATAAGAAAATCTTACTGGGCATCTTCATTACCATGAAGCCAAACTAATCAAGTGAGCTTTACAATCAAACTGTCGGACAGCCTGTTTGCTTTTTACTGAAAGCATGTTCATGAGTATACCCAGAGGGCGTCTGAAAGCGGCATCAAATAGCTTCTCTGAAATCTGCGAGAACCAGGATTCTTCACATTCTTAACCTCTGATCCAGAAAGGCTTCCTTCAGGTTTAACTCAGAGATTAAACCAAAGAGGTCAATCAAAACTATCCAACACCAGAGTCAAATTTAAGGGCTCTACAGGTTCCTTTGGTTTTATCACTAAGGACACAAATGCACACAAATTTCTCCTCTCTGGCAACACAGCTACCAAAGCAAAGGTCTGGCTCTGGCCTTTGGCCCCAGGGATCCACCATTAATGCTTCCAATTCATCCCTTGACTCAAGAGGCAGGTTCCAATTTACAGACTGACAATTCTGACGGAGAGGCTCTCATTCCAACTTAGTCCCCATCTCTCGGTCTCCCAACCACTTAAAATAAACAAACAAAAAACCTTAATGCCTTTTTTAAAATCCTCACCTGAGGATATTTTTTCCATTGATTTTTTTAGAGAGAGTGGAAGGGAGGGCAGAGATGGGGAAGAAAGGGAGGAATGGAAGGGAGGGAGGGGCAGACAGAGAGAGACATTGATGGGAGAGACAGGATTGGTTGTCTCCCTGCAAGTGCCCCAACCTGGACCTGTAATCAAACCTGGCAATTCTTCGGTGCACTGGGCCCCTCGTATCTATAATAAAAGTGTAATATGGTATCAGACCGGACGTCCTTCCAGACATTCTTCCAGACCAAACCGGAGCTGCAAGGGAAGCCTGGGTCCCGGGTGCCTGCCGGCAACTGGAGGGAAGCCTGGGTCCCAGGTAACAGAGGGAAGCCGGTGCCCAGCAGCCAGGGGAGGGAAGGCCTACTCTTGGACGAATTTCGTGCATTGGGCCTTTAGTATATTTATAAAACTCTAATATACAAATAGACCAAATGGCAGAACAATCAAACAACCAGTCACTCTGACGTGCAATGACCACTAGGGGGGCATGTGTGGAACATGCCGGCAGACCATGGAACACGGCGGACATCGGCTGTGGTGGAATGGTGGAACAGGTGAGCATGGGTGCCAGACCAAGGTAGGGTGCCGATCACTGTCATCGGGATGAGCCTCTGGTGGTTACTGAAAATTCTTTGCTCCCACAAGCCATGGTCCCACTGGGCACTCGTACCCGCTGCTGGCACCTGGCACTGGCCCTGATTGCTCGGCACCATCAGTGGGTGCAAGCAGCAGCTGCCGGCCCCGATCACCCCTCAGGGTTTCTCCACCTCCCCCTACTCCTGAGGGGCAATCAGGGCGGCAGCTGCCTCTTGCACCCACTGCCAGTGTCAGAGTCACCACTCACACCCGCTGCTGGCCCTGATTGCCCCTCAGGGCTTCTCCACCTCCCCCTACTCCTGAGGGGCAATAAGGGCAGCAGCTGCCTCTCGCACCCATTGCTGGCAACGGCAACAGCGGGAGCAGAGCTGCCAGCAGACATGGGACCGGGGCCATGGTGGGAGGGGCCAGGGGGGGCGCGGAGGATGGACCAAGACCCGACCCTGTGCCCACTGCAGCCTCACAACCCACAGTTCCTTTCAAGGTGCACAAATTTGTGCACTGGGACCCAAGTCTACAATAAAAATTCTCACTAACCACAGACTGTGAAAACTTTCTTAGAAACTAGCACCAGCATTGAATTGTACTTAATTCCATATTTCTTAACCTTTTTTTGATCTCAGGAAAACAAACACATACAGAGGTTGGTTTTTATTGTTGTTTGTTTTTCATTTACTACTGAAGTCCTTGATACAACAGTCTCCTTGTTTTCCATTTGCGAGGTTAAGTGATTTACCTGTAATTACTCAATGAAGAGGTGGGAGGGAGAGGGTGAGAAAAAACCTCTTCAGGCCGCTAGTCCTGCCATCACAGAACAACTGCCAAAGGTCCAATTCAATCAACAAATACTTCCTGAATGCTGGGTGCTGAGTATTACAGGAAGCAAACTGCACAATAAAATACGCTGGCAAGAAGGGGAGATTAACATAACCACCTGAGGGGGTTTCTACACACCTGGGGATACTGCCCCAAAAGGTGGTGCACTACTACTTGGGAAGCCTGAGAAAAAATGTAAAGGTGAGAAACACTGAGTCAATCCACACATCTTATGTAGTTTACAATCTATTTGTTAAAAAACAAACAAAAATACACACACACACACACACACACACACACACACAGACAAATAAAATAGTACACCAGGTGCCAAGATGCATGCTAAAGGTAAAAATTACAAGAAGGCAGAGCTCACTTTGGTTTAGAAGATTTGATGAGGACTAGGGCTTCAGGAGAGTCAGAATTTGGAAGCAGGCCTTGACTGGTGTTGAAATTCATCCTCTCAGAAAAAGGGGCATGCCCTGGCCGGTGTG